CCTGCTGGTTTGTAGTCTCTGGAGGTACATCCTCGAGCTTTCCTAAAGAAACTGCTGAATCTCATCATCTTGCTAGCATCAGTTTAATTGTCCCTAGTACTGTTAATTTTCATTTATAATGTCTTATCAAATGCATGGAAAGTCTCCAGTCCAGCTTGGGAATGAGCTGGGTGGCTGTGGCTAAAAAGATACCAGGTTTATGAAGAGCATGCTGCTGTCCTGTTTCCTTGAAGTAAAGCTCCAGTTTTCTAACAGAGAAAGTTCGCCACTTCCCCAGGCAACCCAAGCAACAGAAGCTGTTCATTCATGATGACCTGTGAACACTTCCAGCTTTCCTCTCAGAGTAGAAGTGTGGAACCCAGCCAGTGTGACTGAGAGGCAGACAGAACACAACTGCCTCCTAACATGTTGCTGAGGACACCCTCCAGAAGCTGGCTCTGCTAATGTCCTTCACCAGTAGTTCCAACCAAAAGGGACTGAACATAATGGTGTGAACACTCACAAAGCACACTGCACTATGCTTTTTCTATCTCAGAAAGAAAAAGAGATAGTTCTTCTACCATTGTAGCTGCAAAACAAGCCACAAAGTTACTTTATGCAGCAATCACACTTATGGATGGATCACACTTACTGATTTTTGTAAGGTGATGGCATTTCAATTTGCAGAAAACTAGACATAAGTAGAAATTGCCTTAACAGAAAACATGTCAATAAATGAAAACATGTCACGCTGGCAAGAGAGAGACTTCTAATAAAGCCAGACTGTGAATTCTTAGTCCCTGGTGAAAGCCATCATAATTCAAGATATTTTACTTTATCAGAACACAATCAAACCATGCTTCTGGAAAGCAAGTCTGTCAGTCTCACTGAAAGAAAAAGCTAACCTGACTCAAAAAATATCCCATCATGCAGTACAGACTGTCTCTCCCCAAAACCCATTTCTTAGGCTGCCCAGGAAAGGAGCAACACTCAAATCATAGCCTCCTAGATCTCTGCTTCTGGCAGGCTTGCAAGCAGCCTCCCAGGGAAGGCCAAGCAGTAACTGCAGTGGTGCTTTAAGATGACTCAAGTCTCAGGAGACCTGGCTCAGTTTAGTGTCCAGTTGCCTGTTTGGCAGAGGATGTGCTCTAATCTCTTCTCCCCCAGCCACTCCCCACTCTCCAAAGCCAAACCAGGTTTGAGAAACTTTTCCTTCTCTCCCAGGATGTCTTCAAATGCAGAGCTCTCAAATGGCCCACACTGCACCCCCTCATCGATTCATTAAAGATCTAAAGATTTTACAATAGGAAGAGATAACATGAGCTCCGCTGACAAAAGCCCTCTAAAGAAACCAAACAGCATATAAATGGAAACAACAAGTGCCATCACAAGGATCTCACTACGCTGACCTCAATATCAGTACTTAGATCACAGAATCACAGACTGTTAGGGATTGGAGGGGACCTCAAAGCATCATCTAGTCCAATCCCCCTGCCAGAGCAGGAACACCTACATCAGATCACACAAGAATGTGTCCAGGCGGGTTTTGAACATCTCCAGAGAAGGAGACTCGACAAGCTCTCTGGGCAGCCCGTTCCTGTGTTCTGTTACCCTTACTGGGAAGAAGCTCTTCTTCATGTTTAAGCGGAATCTCCTATGTTCCAGCTTATATCCATTTCCCCTCTGGCTCAAGCTGTAACTCAGACAAAGCTGAGATAAAAATATTGGAGAGAATTAACTGAGACATCATCTGCTTTCCTTAGAAAGTCCTGTCCTAAAATACTTGTCCTGGTCTTCAGAAGGGCACAGGTCTCCAGCAGATCCCACGGCATATTTGCTAGCCCTATGCAGCACCTCAGATAACCACACTGCCTCATACAGAGGCATTATTAGTTGCTTTGATTACGCAGCTGCACTGAACCCGAACGGATCTCCACTGCTACAGGAGCTTACACGCCTACCTTACACAGAGGTGCCTACAACGCTAGGCACATAAATCTAGGTGTCTGAATCTGGAGCTGAATCCCAACCCCAATATCCATTCAAATCCTTTATTGAAAACAACAGAACTGAGTTTGCCTGAAACTGTGTCTCGATCCAAGACAGCTAGGCTCCACCATTGTAGTACATCTCACCAAAACCAGGAACACCCCACATCAGGTGCTGTATGAGCTCCACATTTAAAGCCTGTTTTACAGTACGCTGTCATTGGATTTTGATCCAAAAGCTGACCTAGCCAGCAGTGAGAAAATCACCCAGTCTAAAAGACTTTCTGGAGCTTGAAATGACTGCATCTCTCTGTTTAGTGGGCAGAGAGCCAGGGCAATGAGGCATACCTGCAGTTATGCCATGCTTCCCTAATGCTTGGCCACCAATCTCACCGCTTTTTGGTGGCTGGTGCAATTTACACCAGAGGTGGTTCCACTACCTCTAAGATACAGATTAGAGGGTTCAAAATTCAGTTCCATACTCTGCACAGGATATTTGCCCTTTTCTCCCTGAATGCAAGTGGAAATCTAGGCCCTGAGGTTGTTGGCCTCAACAAATAAGCTGTATGTTGTTAAATCTCAGCTCAGGAGGACAGGTACTTACATCCTCCTCTTCTTGTTCGGTTTGTGCCCCACTCTCCAGGTAGTTGCTGTTTTGTTTCTCCAGCTTTGACAGTCTGGAAAACAGAAGGATCCAAAAATAATGCATTTGGCCTATATTTAAAAGTGAGATTGTGACTATTCAAGGATTTCATGCAAGTGATGAGAATTGAAAGCACAGACATGCAGGAAAGCCTGCACAATCGTGGGGGTTCCTGAAGAACACGGGACACTCAGCCTGTATATTTAATTAAAATGGATGCCTAAGTCTGCATGGTGTGGTGAAGGACGGTGACACTCAGTCCACAGTGATCAGTCTTTAGCACAGGCCAAAAACTGCTAGCCCTCTGGAAACATGCCAGTCTGTTCCCTGAATCCAATAATTAATATTGCCTCTATTTTCCTTTGATATTTTCAGAGGCTGAGGTTTCTAAGAATCATTTAGCTATGGATCATTACCTTTTCTAGGAAGACCACATAGAAGCAATTACTGTGACACCAACCTTTCATAGTAGGTAATGTCCAGGAAGTCTTACTCTGTCTCTGCAAAGTGGGAATTTGGAAGAGCTACTGCTTGGGCAATTTTCCACAGCTGAACAGTCACGCCGATTTCTACCAATATAACTGAGCTGAGATGGACCCTCACGCGGGTCTCACTGGAAAAATTCTCTCTTAGACAAGTTTGGAATTAAACTTAATTTAGACATTTCTAAGGAGCTTTTCCAGGCTCACACGTTGCTAAATGTAGCTTGCCAATATCACAAAGAGGACTGTTACCCCTGTTTTATACATAGTGATTTGCTTAAGGCCCCACACACAGATGATTCATAGAAAACCAAATAACTATGGAGGAGTGAGTGGAGAGAACATCCTCCATCAGTCGTCATATCATTCTGACATATTCTGGGGAAAGTTTGAACCCAAGCGGAAATGGGTAATTTGTCTTGATCTGTGGTGCAATGGGAAATAATAGCGAAACATAGAAACTGTTCTGCCCATGGATGAGAACCTGTCATTTATCCCTGTGAGGACTACCACAAAAATAAGTTTTTGCTACAGAGTGCTCAGGAAATTCCCCATCCAGCTCACACTGGTATTTCAGTTTGTCTCTGCTCAGTCACAGGCTTGGTAACTGCAGCAGCCCTGAAAGAGAAGAGCTCCAAATACTACAGTGCACCTACTTCATACCTCTCTTTGTGATCCTGCAGCTCCTTCTCAAGTTTTTCCCTCTTCTGAGTTTCACTTCTAAGGCAGCAGAGCAGATGGCTCACAGTTAGCTCCTCAGACTCCAAATTCTTCGATTCATCTGCAGCTTTACTCCTGCTTTGTACCAAACCAGATGTAAATGACAACAGCTATGATTTCACTGGACCACTCCCTTATCCCTAGTTCTGGGACCCAGCCTGAGGCCTCTGTTTCATAGTGCTGAAAACCAACATGTTGAGCAAAGGGCTCATTCTCAAGGACCAAGACCTACCCACAAGCCACTGGCCACAGTCTCATTTGTGCAAATGCAGTCCTTGCTTTGCATAGTGCTCAGACAGTCCCTGTCAAGCTGGGGGAGCAATTTAGTTCTTAAACAAGGAAAACAAAGCAGTCAAGACAATACAAAACCCAGTGCATTTATTCTAACCTACTTTGCAGCCCCTTCTGCAAAGTGCTGCTGTCTGTTCCCAAAATAACTTTTTTTTTCCCAATGAAACATGCAACATTTCTTATCTCTGTCTCATTCCTTTCCAGGAAAAGGCGGCACGTTCCACTAAAAATGGTCATCAGAAATTCCTTTCTTTTTCAGAAAAAAATATCTTCAATACTTCACCTCCCTCATATTCTATAGCTCTTTTCAAAATCGCATTATGCTACTCTATAAGTGAACCAAAACAAATACAGAACTAAATGAGAAGGTAAGTTAATTTCCTGGTGATAAAATACTGTATTTCATTCCCTCCATTTTTATGTCCATCGAGACAGAAAGTCAAAATCCCCTAACTGTAGGTGGGTTATATACACTGAATGTTTCAGAAGCTCAGCACTAAAATGGCATGTGTTTAAAACTATGCTTTTGTTGTTCAGAATAGAAAGTAAAGCATAGTCTTCTATGTGCTCCTGAGAGCTGTAAGTCTTCGTTGAGCAAAATTCAATACCCCAAAGACAGTGTTGAGCCAGGATATTTTAAGTAAATAACTTTTATCAGGGGATTTTTAGTGCACAGTTCTAGTCTTACAGAAATAAACCTGTCCTAAGTGGATCACATTTCTCTGAACCTGTTAACAGCACCAGTCTAAAGTTTCAATGCTGGACAAAGACTCATGGTGACACAGGAAATATTTTAAGAGGTACATATACTCCCTGTTCTTGTAGATACGGCCCAGACACTCACCAACAAGTAAGCAACTCCCACAAAGAATGTTTTCTTATAATCTGTGTTCTTCCAAGCCATGGCTAATGACAAGCTGAACACTTGCAGACCAGTCTGTGGTCATCATCTCTCTCAGCTTCATCCCTAACCATAACTCTACTTTTCCTTCAACTTCTTAACTGCATGCCGAGGGACAAGTTTTCTATGTCATTACATTAAAATGCTGTTCTCCTCTGCAGTGAGGTAGGGGGTGACAGGGGTTTAAGGGAAAACCTGTACACACAGCACAGCTTTCTGGCCTGCTACGCCCTTAGCATTTTCTATATCCTTTCCTTCCAAAAGCAGAGGCTGCAAAGTAAATAAAGTTCAGCTACAACCATCTAGCTGCTAAATTGGGCAGTATCCAAAATGGAAAGTTTAATAGCATCAGCTGTCTACGTCCATGAGGAGCAAAGGTTCAGCTAGGGGCAAGAAAGTCCCTTGTGCCCTTGAGCTGAGGTAAAGATCAAATTTTGAGAAGTAACCTAAACAGAATGCTGGTATCTTAAGCCTAGTAACCTGAAAAATAAGGACTGTGTTATTGCACTGTCTGTCTACCCCACCGTGATACACTTTATACCAACCATGCACAAACAAAACTGCCAGGGTTCAGATCTGAAAGACTACAAGACCTCTGATTCTTACCAACATCATTATAATTGAGTAGAGGACAGATACTCTATTAGATGCTCTCCAATGACTAGAAGGGAGAGAGTCCCTGCAGGCTCCAGCTTTATCTTTTCCATTTGATCCCCCCTAAAAGCCTGAAAAGTCGGCAAGTCAACATGTACAAAAATGCCTGGCCAACTAGCTAGAATATGCACTCCCTCTTGTCAGCTAGTGAAAAGTGGAAGCAAAAACGTCAGAAAGCTGAGGGTGTTTCCAACGTAGTAGGAAGGTAGAGTTAGTGCAATGGAGGGATGCAAGGCCACAGAAAAATAGGATTTTCTAGTGCATTCCTCCCAGAAAGAAGTTCCCTCACATTTAAAACAAAACACATTGCACAAGTCTGAATCACACACACCACACAAGAACCTACATACATGCAGACAGCAGCAACGTTGCTGGTCATTTCATCACTGTTCTCTTCATGTTCCTTTGCAGTCCTATTTATTTCTCCTTCCTAGGAAAGAAAAAACACCATTAGCTTGTTTGGACTACGCAGGACACAGTTTTATTTACCTGAGTTAAGGAAGGAAGAAAAACAGGGAAAACTACTATTGTGGCAATAAAAATAAATAAAACACAAAAACATGAAACAGATCAGTTTCATGTCTGGAAATTCTTAACTTAAATACTCCACATGCCCTTCCCTGTATCTCTTCCAGACTCAGAGAAAAGGAACAACAAGGAGATTTGGCATTCTCCTTTCACCTCAACTTCCATGGCCATCCTCCCCTGTAAAGATGACTGAGCACCACACAGCAACAGCCAACATCACTGCAGGTGACTTTAAATATAAGCCTAAAACCCAGTCTCCTTCCTCCCAAAAGAACCATTCTTCTTTCCCACTACAAAATTCACTCCTTGATCTTTGTAGCCAAAAGGAGAATCTTTGTAGCAAAAAAAGAACACATTCTTGAAGGTTTCCTGCAGTTTACAGTATTCTTCAACAACTCCAAGCAAGTTTTAATTAAATCATCTTAATTTCTTGTTGCGCTTGTACTTTCAGAGAGGGATCTGCTATTGTGGAGTCAGCAGACACCCACGTTTTCACATTTCTTATTTTGCCTGTGAAGATTTTTCAGAACAGTAGAAAAAGTAAGATTTTTGTGCCTCTAGGGAACACTACAGCTTTGCACTTAGTTTTGTTTGCCTGCATCTTTACTTACCTGTCAGTAGAAAGCGAGCCCTGTTCTCAGAAGAAAAGGCCCCCCTTTGTGCATAGGTGTTGCCCCTCAACAAAATATATTACAAACGTTCCCAGGAATTCCAAGTAAGGTAAGACTCTTGATATCTTGAATGAGTGAGAATTCACCTGTTGGACCATGTTGGTTTTTCCAGAGAGTATTTTTAGTGTAATGGAGGCTACCTATGGACTTAATTTACTTTGAGCATGAAAGTGGAAGTATGAAAATAAATTCCAAATCCCTTATCACCACATCTTGTAACACACAAGTGCTCCATGTCAGGTAATCTATGAGACCAACTCTTCTCCCAAATCCACGATGCCTGTATCCTCTGTTACTGCTGTTGTTGGCAATTTGCTGTTCCCTGACAAAGAGGCATAAAGACTTTTAATTGACGTGGGTATAGATTCACCCTTTCTACTAAAAGAAGACGGTGCTAATTACCCCACTGTAGAATGTCATCAAGTTAACACTGTCACCATAATTACGCTCAGACCTGACTTCCTCATTACTTAGCCTGGTACAAGAAGAAAATTCAGTTTGTAAAAAAAGGAGGACCAAGCTGGAACCGAAGTGTCTGGCTGTAGGTCACTGTGTTCTTTTTATTCCCTCACTTACGTTCATCCGAACCTCCACAAAGGAATCCTCGGCTGAAGATATGTTCAGCTTGACCTGCAGTTCTGAAATGATGGCTAGTAGATCTGCTTTCTCAATCTGGAGCCGCTGCACCTGGGATTTCAGCTGCCTCGCCTCCTTCTCGGGAGTCATGCAGCCCTCCTGGGATAAACAAACGCTGCGTTAGCCAACCAAAGGGAAACATCAGCCAAGGAGCACAAAGCCTGAACATAACAACGGCGTCCTGCATCCCTTCTTCTCTGTTTAGGTTTGCCTGAAAAAACCCGGTGTACAGATTCCTGAACTAGGCTTTGGTCCACTAGACAGTAAGAAATCTAAATGTGAAACCAAGTTAATCAAACGATGAGCATCTTCCTCCTGGAAAACATGGGCCTGGTTCTCTGAATGCACAGATAATTAGGATGTAAATCTTTGCCTGAATCTACGTCTCTCACTACCACACAGGGTCTCAGCCAACCTACAGAATTCTTGTCCAGAACTACTTTATTTTTTCATCCATAACCTTATTCCTCTTTTCCAAATCTACCTGAGATTCTAGGGAGAAAAGACCAGTGGGCAGAACTTTTCCACAGACCTCACTTCCAGCTTTTCCCACTATATGACTCCTCTGTACCCCGTGTATAAATCTCTCCCCATATCCCTTCCATTCCACAAAGGCTCTGTCCCTCAGAGAATCTCTCCAAACTTCATCTCTCCTTCCAGTCATGACTGTCTCCTTCATCGTCTGCCTCTTCCCTTTCCCCAGGATCCTCAAAGCTCTCTCCTTAAGCCTCTAAATGACCAGGAAGCCTCATTTTTTTCTCTCCTTTAGATGCATCACCCATTATGAAACTTTACCTGTGAGTTTGCTTCTTCCTCATTTTGTAATCTGAGCCTTCCACCTCCTGGTAATGCCTTTATTACACCACATACCATCAATGTTAATCCTGGACAATTCCTGGAGTCTGAATTACATTCTGATCTATCATTCATGCTGAATTGCCAAACTCTTGCTATGCTGACAGTGTCTCTCATCCTGCAGCACTGCCCTACCCACCTGACTTGCTGCTGTCTCTGATTTTGTGCTTAGGCTGCGAAAGGATGCAATTAAAGTCAGCTCCAGTGAAGAGGAGAGGGCTTTACAGCAACCTGTGCTAACAGTGGTAGAGTTTTGAGAGAAACTTTTCTGTGAATGCTGGTTTATCACTAAGGGAGGCAACACAATATATTTGTGATTTGCTTTGAGTGAAACAGAGATGTCACTGAATGCTAGCAATGGACTATAGTCTATCTCAGTTAACTGCAAAACACAGAAGTGAGACAAATTAGACTAACTGTAAATCAGTCTTTCTGTTAAAGGATTTTTTTTTCATGCTCTTTCTAAACAAGAAAAAAAAGAAAAAAAAAAAAGAACTACAGTAGAACTAAAGCATTCAAGAAAGTCATTTTGGCTTAAATGACAGTCAGCCTGAAAGTCGTAATCAGAAATGAAAATACTGCTGTCTAAATTACAGTTATCACTGGCTGATAAAACTGCCAAGAATCATAGAAGGACCAGGGCTTACTCTATGAAGGTCTTGATACGAGATAATTAGAAGAGATTTATTTTTACTTATCTGGATGTTGGATTACTCAAGCAGGTTGGATCACGCTATCAATAACATACTTTAAGTATTCAAAGCACAGGAAGTTCTAAAACAGGTAGAGGCAGAATAAATCCTTTACTTCCCCGTAAAAACTACTCCAGATTTATGAAATTCTGAGTTTCCTTGACAATCCTGAAACACAACTTTTAGCCTGTAAAGATTGTACAAACAATACTTACACAATCACACTATTTATACATGACTGTTTTCCCCCTTTTAACTTCGAACTAGTTGGCCAATGTTGATTTACATGCTGAAACATTTCTTACAGAGTTCCATAAAACAGGCAGCCAGGAGAGGAAAGGAGAATCATAGAATCATAGAATCATAGAATGGTTAGGGCTGGAAGGGACCTTCGAAGGTCATCTAGTCCAACCCCCCTGCAAGGAACAGGGATATCTCCAACTAGATCAGGTTGCTCAGGGCCTTGTCCAACCTGGCCTTGAACGTCTCCAGGGATGGAGCATCCACCACCTCTCTGGGCAACCTGTTCCAGTGTTCTACCACTCTCATAGTAAAAAATTTTTTCCTAATATCCAACCTGAACCTACCTCCCTCTATTTTAAAACCATTACCCCTTGTCCTATCATAACTGGCCCTCCTGAACAGCCTCTCCCCATCTTTCCTGTAGGCCCCCTTGAGGTACTGGAAGACCGCTATAAGGTCACCCCGGAGCCTCCTCTTCTCCAGGCTGAACAGCCCCAACTCTTTCAGCCTGTCCTCATAGGAAAGAGTCTATTAGTGACTCAGTTTAGAAAAAGACTAATACACTCATCCTTCATCAGGCAACAGAAAGTCCACATGGGTCCTGGAGGTACCAGATACCAGGATGCATCAGTTTGGCTCTGCACAAAACTTCTCATTAAACACGTCTTCACACAACCATGTGGGACACAAAGCATGTTTGGTTTTGATAGGCTTTGTTCATAGATGTTTTTGGTATTACCTGCAAATTCATGTTGCCTGCCTACTAAGCAATCACCTGCAACACTAGAAATGATGTGTTACCAAGCTAAAGGTACGTCAGAGAGAGAAAGCTCAGTCAGACTCAAATGGGGCAGCAGAAGTACAGATCTAATCTGACCTCAGTAAAAAAGCTTTCATGAGAGGAGAATGATATAATAAAAATCCATGGCAGGTAATTGGGTTTTTTTGCTTACATGTCAACTTCTCCCTGGAAACACAAATACAAAAGCACTTAAATGATCATGAGAGACTGATAATCTAACAAGCAAAGAGAAGGATAAAGTCAAGAGACTAAACAAATAAAAAATGAAAAGTTTGCAAAAAATGTTAATTTCTTATGTCAAGAATGTTAATTATTATTGTTAATTAAAATGTAAATTATCCCAGGTATGGTACATGTAGTACACTCCAAGACTCACTTTGTAAAATAAGTCAGGCCAAGACCTCTTGTTAGAGTGTAAGAATAAAAATGGAGATGATAACAAATCTCCAAACCTCCCAGCATGCTGAAGGGACATGAATTCTGCAGACTTTCCATTTAAAATCATGTCAATCCAACCAATTCCTTATTTACCATTTCAACTCCTTCTTCTCTTCCCTTTAATCTCTGAAGTTGTTGCTGTAGCTGTTCATTTTCAATGCACTTGGCTAGCAAGCACTGCTTAGCTTCCTTAAACTTTAACTCATAAAATTCTCTTTCTTCTTTCTGCTTCTCTCGCCAGATAGAAAGTTCCTCGTATCGATCCTTCATAGCTTGGTTACGCAACTTCATGGCTTCTAAAGGATAGCCAGAGACAAGACATTGATTCACATTAATACTCAGTCAACAAAACAGCAGATTTCCCCTACACTGAGCTCAGCATTCTTCAGTGGGTTAGCAATAATTAGGTATGAAATGTGAATCTCCTCTGCGTGTATCTTAAATACCAAACCAAACCTAAACTTATTATAGTCCTTTAGCACTATAATAAATAGCATTAACTACATTGCTGAAATCACGTGCTCACACTCTCTCGTTTCCTGACTTACTCCTACACCAAGAAGTATTGTTCACGAGAGGTACTTGGTATCTTGCTGCATATGTTATTTACATGATCAACCCAAGTGAAACTACTGAACTGAGATTCTGAAACTACTGAGACTTGGTAGGGAAAACAGGCATCCTAAACTGGTAAATTGCTGCATGAAAATGGATGCTATCAAATCGAAAGTCTCAAACATGCTCTACTTGAACATTTGGTTAAGATTTGACTGAAAGTGTTGAAAAAAATATACCTGACAACTTACAGCAAAGTTAGTTCCCCCTGACTGGGAAGCCATGTGTATGTAATAAAGTCAGTATGTAACAACGTCAGTCTTACTATTGCAAAACACTTCCAAGATTTTTAGGAAAAGTGAATGAAAGTGCTTCAGACTTGCTTTTCTAAAGCAACAAACTTAAAGCCAGTTGCTTGAAAATCTTTTATACATTGTATTTTCCATTAACTTCCATTATGTCCTGATGTCTTCTTATAAATTTCCAGCAAGTCCTTCATGTTTTGTAAATAGATGTTGCTCTGGAGAATGATTCTGCAAGGTACGAGTTACAGCAGCTGTAAATATATCTTATATGATATAGGACCTTTTAGCAAAATACCAGAGGCACTTCTAGAAACAACCTTCCTGCCAGATACCCACGAGACTCCAAGGCAGAGAACTTTGACCAGATCCAAAAATGACTCAGGCAGAATTTAAACACTAGTGTAAAATCACAGCACACAACATAGAGGACATCATGCTCTACTGCTGTATAAACAGTGAGGTACCTCTGTCTTTTATACAGAAAATTCCCAAATCCCTTGGGTTTTGCTCTATCCATTTTCAAAAAAATATGTATCTGACACCTAAACTCCTGAGATCCAGAAACAAAGCTCTCTCATCGGAAAGGCTCAACTCATTAGCCATTTTCAGGGAAGCCTGTCAGTTTCTCCCAGGTAGACCTTGTCATGGCTGCCACTTCCTTTCGAAGTACAGAAGGTGCTGTCACATCTAAATGTTTGTAGTCGTTGCTACGCACAGTGTAGGACAGCCTGCTCCAATTCCCCTCTCGGCCCGAGAGGACGCGGCTCCTTTCAGACAGTAGCCTAACACAAGCTGTTCCGGGCACTGTGCAGTACCCACCCCTCCGGATGCACCTATGGCAAAACGTTAGTCTATCTATAACAGAACTGCCCAACAGTCCTAGAACACAAACCAAAAAACCTTTTAGAGGTTGATGAGCAAAAAGCATATCATCGTACAAGATTTTTCACCTTGTCTCCTGAAATATACAGTTCTGTACTGCTTATACATGTAATTCTGCTGCTTATACACGTAATTCTGAAGCAAATAAGTCACCCATGCATTGGGCTGTTCTCTCCCTAATCTTCCATACCGATTCAATTTGATGTGTCCTATCAAACTGGCCTTGCCACTTGCAGAGTTGCTTATACATGGAACGCTGCCAGACATAAAACGTTATCTAGCCAGGGCAAACAAGCATTGAATTCATACTCATAGGACAAAAAAACCCACAGAAGAGACCCAGAGCTTTTGCATTTCAAGACCAGTTTCCATGCGCGTTCACCTTTTAACTCATTGTTCTCAGTGATTAGTTCTTTCATCTGTTGTACCATCTCTTCTGGGGTGTAGGTACTAAGGGCAGGGGCAGCCATGCTGTCT